CGTTCCGGGGAACCAAAACTTATGATGTATATACATTGGGTCTAAATAAAACAAAATCAGTAGAAGGATTGACATGATTACAAAAGGCTGGCGTGGACGTATTCAATATAGGATTGTTCGTGGTTCTACTTAATTTGAGTTGTATGAAATGGATGAACGTAAAAACCATAAGTTATGTAACAAGTATAATTCACACTTTTCTAAGAATAATGGAAATTTGATGAATTGCAGAAGGCTTTTATACACATGGTGTATTCCTAGGGCATTGGACCAACCAAAGCATATAGGTTGTTTTTCGGTATTTAGGGAAGATGTAACTACACAGGTGGTAACATTAATTAATTTTAAAAGTTTTATGCAGAAAATGAATTTTTATATTGGTGAAAGAGCTGATATGCAAAACTTTTGGTTGATAAAATGTTAGATACGATGAACATGTAGCAAATTTTCTATAGAATTTAGAGTTGATAACATGTGTTTGAATTCTTTATGTTGGATTGATGACACAGCTAATCTTGTATACTTTAACACCATATTTAATAACTGAGGTAGATATGCTTCGCATTATCGACATGGGCATAAGTTGTGCAACTACAAATTTTTTACTGTAGTAATATATGTACAAGAACCAAGCCATGCTTCAATTGGAGTTTTATTGTCAATGGATACTAAAGTTGATCAACTTATAACATGATTTAAAGTATCCTCAACCCAAAATCGATTTGGTATATTTTTATTAGAAAACATGAACCATGCTTTGGAGTTAATGGTTATGTTTATACACTCATTTTGTTGAGGATTGTATGGAACAATGTGGTGTCTTAAAATTCCTCTAGACTTGAAATATGGTTTTAATTATTTAGAACAAAATTCCATTCCGTTATATATTCACGTCTTCTTTAGTTTCTTGTAGGCTTCTTTTCAATCATAGTCATCCATTATTTGAAAGGAGGGAATCAAGGTTCTAAAAAGCTCATCATGGCTCCAAAGCTTGTACTTTGCGCCAAACTTTAAAAAAAATGACACCTTAAGACATGTATGTATATAAAAATGAATAATAATAGTAAATATATATAGAATTATGAATTATATGCGTAATTGCCGTCTTAAGTCACGCTTTATAGACGATATAGCTCGCCACGGCTCGTAAAAGCTTGAGGCTTAACATTGCTGTCAAGCCGACGCCTAACGTTATTTTGAACCTTGGAGGGAATAGATCTAATTTGTGTTTTAAAAATAAAAGAAACCGTTTCTTTAATATTTATCGAGGATAGTTGTCTTGTGTCTCCGAGGGATTTTTTGCTAGATGCCCCTTATAAATTTGAGTGAAGATATTTGAGGATGTTTGTGGTTGTGTTAACTAAATTGTTGAACAATCCATTGTTTTTCAAATATATATTATTTATAGAATTCAAGTTTCACTTTTCGATAAGCTTGAAGAAGACTACATATTTTAATAAAATAAACCTTAGTTCACTCATATGACCTACTCGACAATGTTTACTCGATTAACGAGAAAAATGATCATCTAAGCTGTATGTAGGACATAACCTATGATTGTAGTAACTTGAACATAGTAGAGAGCTTACAATTTTCTTAGGTAAGCCTTTATCATGATTAAGGAGCCTTTTATGATATTCTAAACCTGGTCTACATACGGATATTTGTATCCCTTGTCACCAAAGATACTTAAAAAGATAAAAAAAAAAAATCTTCATATTTGGAATGTAACAAACATCGTCTAGTATTAAATTAATTCCATGAACATCTTGATATGGATAAGCACAATAACTTTAATGTTGTATTGCGAGTCATCAAAGCCATGAACTGATTTGGCTCTAAGGTATTAAACCAATCTTTATATGGACATATATGGTGCGTACAAGTGGAATAAAGAACCCACTCGCTAATAATTTCGACACACGTGATAACAACTAAGAACCTCTGTTTCAAAACTAATTTCATGTGCATAGTTTGCAAAAACTATCATCTTCCTTAACCTTTGACTGTTTTGAGTCATTCTTTTATTATTATTATTATAATTATTATTATTATTATTATTTAGTTTGTAGCATTCAGATATCCTATTCCTATCTTTCTAGCAATATTTAGGAAAATGACTCGCGAGGGTAATTATCTTTCGTCTTGTTCACGTTTAAGTAACTTTATTTTTTGTACACATTTGACCATTTAACTTGTTAAATATGTTCACATATTATCATTGTCATCTGCTATAACAGGTGACAATGGTAATATGTGAACACATTTAACAATTTAAATGGTTAAATGTTTACAAAAAAAAAAAAAGTTGTCTAAATGTGAACAATTGTTTTTCACAAATTTCTTAAGATTTTTTATAATTTCTTACAAAATTTTATGATATTTTTTCCTACAGATTTTTCTAATATAATGTTTTAAACTTTGCTTATAATTTTTTTTAACTTTTTTTTTATACTTTCATATAATTTTAATACAAATGCTTTTAAATCAAGTATTTTATAAATGTTATAAATTTTTTCTTACAAGTTTTTAACTTGTTTTCTTTACATTTTCATACAAATTTTTTACAATTTTTCATACATTTATTTTTAAACTTTCTTTTACAACATTTTTAAAATGTTTCACAGATTTTGTATGACAATTTAATATTTTGTTATAATATTTTCAAATACTTTCATTAAATACTAGTTTAAAATGTTGTATTAAAAAAAATTAAAAGTTTATAAACTTCTAATTAAAAAGTTGGAATAATTTTAAAACATTACATTATATATATTTTTTTTGCTAAGTAATATATATATATATATATATATATATATATATATATATATATATATATATATTTGAACGACGGGGTTAGTAGTTAGAAGTTAGTATCACGGAATTGTTCATGTCAAGATTAGAACTCAAGACCTCCAATCTAAGAGGCAAAGACTCTACCAAGTGGGCTAGTCCCACATTGGGTTGCTAAGTAATATTTTCTTTTTATTTTTTTAAAAGACCCTTCATACTTATTGTTACATATTTAATTTATTTAATTTTATTGTTAGATACTATTTACTTTAAAAATATTGTATATGCTTAAAAAACAAAAGAAACAAAAAATTGTAAGAGGCTATATAAAATATTTCACAAAACAAAAATATATTTATTAATTAAAAAATAAAGTTTAAAATTGATCAATATTTAATTAATATTTAGGAAATTATGGATATTTTAAAAATAATGTTTGAAAAAAATAATACAAACAAATATGAAAAATAAAATCACTATTAAAAGTGGGGAAAATGACTTATCAGAATAATTAACTTTTCGTTTTGTTCACATTTAACCATTTAACTTGTTAATTTGTTCATATATTACCATTGTCACCTTATATAGCTGGTGACAATGACAATATGTGAACACATATAACAAGTTAAATGGTCAAATGTGTATAAAAATAAAGAAGCTACTTAAATATAAAAAAAGCAACAAAGATGATTACCCAGTTAAATCATTTTTCCAACAATATTTACCTGTGCACTTGTCTTGTCTTTAGATGTTGATATGAACCATTTTTTTTCATTTGATTTGCCATAAACCTTAACTTGTGAAACAATTAAGCCATCAATACACAACATATTTTTTCCCTTCGCATACAAGGATTGATAAAATTATTTGAGAGTGAGGGTATCAAGATTGTAAATTATGGTATAACTGCAATTAGATTATAACTGGACAATTAACATAATAGGATCAAACCCAAATCTTCTTTCTCATACTTAACTTTCATCGTTGTCAAGTCTAAAATAATTTAGTAGAAATAAAAAAAATATGGTTGAGTAAGTTTCATCCATTTCGAATCTTGTATAGAAACAACTTCCATTGTAAATGTATTTTACTCGAAAGGTCCTTTTTGATGCATACAAATTCCCATTTGAGTCGTAAGACAATGGCAATCCTTTCCTTTAGAATCTTCTGCTTAATGTTGTTATAACTATGGATTTGGATTTAGGCTAGCACTGTAAACCATTCTTCTTCTTTTCCTCATTCAAATTAGTTTGTCTTTTTCTTCCAAATACATGTAGTGCATGTCATAATCTATATGTGCTAATAACTGTCACATCTTAACTTTCACAATGAGAAGCATCTAAACGCAAAAAGATCGTATTTTATTGATGCCATTCTTGAATACCACCTTCATAGTTTTAAGAAGAAATTGATTTGAAACATTTTTGCAGGTTTAGAAAAAATTGATAATGCTTGTGTAGGCATAGGAGAAAATCGACAAAAACCTTTGTAGGTTTAAGGAAAAAACTATAATAATATACTTCAAGCAAATTGATTAAGACCTTTGTAGGTTCAAGGAAAATTCAATCAAGAACTTTGCAAGTCTTGGAAGTAAATTGATCAAGACATTTGTAGGTCTTGGGAGAAAATCTATTAAGGCCTTACATGTTTGAAGAACTCGGTTCTAATTTCACTTGTAAAAGAATGACCAAACATGAACAACCGAGTATACCATAAGATCAAGACATTTGTAGGTCTAGAGAGTAAATCGATTACGACCTTACATATTTGAAGAACTTGGGTCTAATATCACATGTAATTAAAAAGATGACCAAACATGAACAACGGAGTATACTATAAGATCAACCATAACACCATAATTTAATGAAACCCTTGTAGGAAAACCACAAGACACACTTGTATTATTAGTAATTAACCGGTTGAGCGGAAGAAAATTTACAATCAATAAAGGGTTTTGAGTATGGAACGAGTAAAATAGACAACCAAAAATATGTGCACTATCATATCATAGCAAGTTTTTTTTATCCTAATATATACGAAAGAAAGGAAAATTCCCTAACTACGAATGAGAGAATTTGGATAAAAAAAAATAACAAAAAGCGGACAAAACTTCGATAACACCATGTATAGAAGGAGATTTATTAATTAAAGTTATCATTTGTTTAATCAAACAAATATTTTTATTCGAAAACACCATGTATGTATAATCATCGATCATCTAGGTAACGATTCCAAAAATTGAGTATTGTAACCGTCCCTGTATTAGAAAAATGGTCAACGACATATTTAATGGAATTGAGATGGATTAGCATTGATTTTTTTTATATAAAATTTAGATTTTCAGATCCTTTCTTTATGAAACTAGGGAGCGACAAAATATGATGGTGCTACTTTGCTAATTTTTACTACAATCCGTCTATAAACTCACGTTCATAACTAAGTCCGTTGCTAACTATTCTTTACTTGTATTATAACTATTATAATAATTATAATTACTATTATTAAATCATCATCAAAATTATCACCCCTTCCCCCAAAAAGAAAGAAAAAATAAATCAATAAAAATTACTTGCTCATTTCTCTCCGTTACAAAAAATATTTTTTAAAATTCCAAGAATCATCTCGTTGTTGACTTCTCAAAGTCACTGTTTGATCATTTCGTTTACTTTAGCACCGCCGGATCATTTTTTTATTCCATGACAATTTCATTTTGTTTTTTTATTCATTATTCAATGATAGGAATACGTAATTTAATAAATATTTTGATTCCTGTAGTATAATTTATAAAATACATATTAAACGAAATGTTATCTTGCATTATCTTCCAAGGAGATCCTAAGACCAAAACTTAAGCGGGAACAAACTTAAGAGTTAAAAGAATAGATATATATGTCCTATATCGTTAATATACAAATTAAATTCAATTATGTAGTTATATAATTATCTTTAAAATTATAAATAAATATTAACTACCAAATGAGCAACTTAATTATGATATCAACAATAGATCAACGAATCAACAATACAACATTCAGCAGCATGTTTCTTCACAATAATAGTTTTTGTTTAAAACATCGATATAGTAACGATATTACTTTAAATTACGTGGATTAATTAAGCCAATTTCACGTTAAAACACTTAATATACAAACAATGACGTCTCTTCTTACCTTTACAACCGCAATCGCTCTTTTGTTCCTTTAGCTTTGAAATCCTCTCCTCGGCCTCTGTCAACAGCATATTCAGTCCTTTAATCTGTGACTTCATCTGTATAATCTCCTTAGCCATGTCTGCTGTTAGATCTTGTACTTCACTTTTGGACTTCATCTCCACCACCTTCGGGATGATATCAACCACCACCTTTAGTTTCTTCATATTGATATCATTGTGACAATCCTTAGAATTGAATAGTGAGTCGATATCCTCAAGGGTCATATCTTCAGATGCAAACACCCTTTGAATCAAGAACTTTTGCTTGACAATCGTGTCAGTTGTAGGCAGTATCGTACAAGCTTGCCTTGTGACTTTAATTTCACAGGTTGAATCTGGTTTCAATATTCCTTTATTTGGCCTTACACAATACAGTTTTGGGTCTGTTGTTTTGACCTTAAACGCGATGTATCGATTGGAGTTGCTAGTGAGGTTGAGCATGCATGAGATCTGCTTCTTTGGTTCGAAGATGAAAGTGAGTTTGCTAGGATAAATCTCCCCGAATTCTTCAGCCATGTTCAGATATGTTGAAATGATATTCGTTGATAAATGGTTTATAAAACCTCTTTTCCTCTAGACTTGGTCGACGGTTGTCGTTGTCAACTTGTTCTTATGAAATTTGCCCATAATTCCCAAGGTAAACTCCTTGACTATGTCGTATATAATTATTCTTTTAATATTAAAAATATTAAAATAATAGTTTCAAAATAAGCCGGAAAGCCTGATGGTTTTCTCAACTATTTCAATTTGAGTTTTCAGCATCGATGGAGAAGAAAGAGAAAAGAGTTGGATGGAGCCATTGAAGGAATTCCAGAATGGATGGAGAAGAAAGAGAAAAGATGGAAGGTTAATTGGATGATATATGGAATTGTAAAAAATCAACCACACGATTTGTGGAGGATTGGTATTCATTGTATAGTAAAAAATCACCTTAGGTGGTGGTTTTTTTTTTTTTTCTTCGAACACGCGCAGAAATTAGCCTTCGTAGACTGTTTGTTTTTTAGAAGACCACACACGTAAAAAAAGGTATGTACGACCTCTTTTTGGCGCAGACATGAACTAGAGTCTTCTAACCTCTTCAGACATCTTCTAGTTAAAAAAATATTTTTTTTCGGTTTTAGTCCTTTTATATAACATTATTTTTTTTTCCGATTTTAGTCATTTTATATCACATAATTATATATCATTTTATATCAGAGTTATATGTTATATTTATGTAAAAACACTACAAGAAAAAAGACAAATAGCGGCGACAAAAGTCGCCGCTAAAAGGTCAAAATGTCGCCTCTAATAGCAATAGCAGCGACACGTCGCCGGTAATAAGTCGCCGCTACTGCTTCGTCGCTATTGATCAACTTGTCGCAAATGTCGCCGCTAATGAGTGTGTCGCCGCTAAAGAGTGTTGTCGCCGGTAATGAGTTTGTCGCCGGTAATGATGATGTCGCCGGTAATAACAATTTTCATTTTTTAATTTTTTTTAATCAACGATTTTTGTTGCCGGTAATAACAACATTCGATTGAATATCAAAAATAATAGTGTCGACGCTAATTACAGAACAAACATCCGATTAAATATCAAAAGTAATAGTGTCGCCGGTAATCACACGCATATCCGATTAAATATAAAAAAGTAATAATGTCGCTGGTAATAGTGTCGCCCGGTAATTACATAACATCTGATTAAATATAAAAAGTATTAATGTCGCCGGTAATTACAGAAAACAACCAAAAATTTTACAATCTAACAAGTAGTAAAACGTGACAACAAGTTTAACATGCAAATAAAACTCATCCCTACATACCATCATCTTCGTTTCCATCGTTTCCTCGATTATTTTGGGATTGAAAAAACGAATAAAGCTTATCCCTACATGCCGGATCGTTGAGCATTGCACGAAGATTTTCCAACTACATAATTAATAACAACATATATAAACTTATAAGTTAAATTATCAAACATAAACAAAAACTATCAAAGTACATTGTTATTTTTAAATTACCAAAGTTTTTAGCAAATAATCACCACAAAACCAAAATTACCAAATCAACATGCATTTTATGATGTCAAAGTAGACTGCTATTTTTAAACTAAGACAAAAAACCAAAGTACATTGTTATTTCTTGCACTTGGGACAAAAACCCATTTATCAATGCTTTTAGCAAATAATCACCACAAAACCAAAATTACCAAATTAACATGCATTTTATGATGCAAAAGTAGATTTCGATTTTTAAACTAAGACAAAAAACCAAAGTACATTCTCATTTCTTGCACTTGGGACAAAAACCTAATTTCCAAAGCTTTTAGCAAATGATCACCACAAAAAACCAAATTAGATTGTTTTACCTATGATGGTTGTGATGGTTGTGGTGATGGTTGCGGTGGCTGTGAAATCGGCGGGAGAGCAGAAGGTTTACGACCGATGCCTCTGATATGGCCACGTCGCTCTCCTAATACTTTCTCAAAAGCAGCTATTTCTTTAGCGGGTGTTAACTCACTTTCACCTTGGGTTTGTTCTAAGAGCTCTTCGAGTAACCGATTCTGTAATTCCCAAAAGTGAGTAACAATTAAGTATAAATAAACACTTAATTATATGATAAGATTATAATTAAATACTTACATATTGTTGTTCCGCCTCGGCAGTAACAAATACACCATCCTTATCGGTATGAACTTTGCGAAACGTTTCCACTCTCTTAAAGTTCTGTTTAACTTTAAAAATAAGATTATATTTTAAATAAATAATTACATGTATCGTACGTTACCTTCTTATAGCAAGTACTGTTATACGAGCTCGACCCCCCACGATTCATATTTGCTTGCTTTTCACGGATTTTTTTGTTCCTCTTTGAAGCAATTATGTGTTCGTCCGTTTGGAAATACTCAACTGTTTTCTTCCAGTTATCAACTTCCATACCCTCTGGAGGGTTGGCTAATGCTCTCGGGATATCTTCATACCCTCCGACTGACATAAAATATTCTTGTGCGTTAGCTTTACGTTCTCGATACCTTTTAACAAAGCTGCTTGAAAACTCTCTGTCAACATATTAGCTTGTACATCCTGGTACATCTGATCCAAATCAAACTTTGTCTACAAAAAAAAAGTTAACCAAGTAAAAACCAGTTGTAGTTAACCATATAAAATATTTTTAAATAAATAATTACCCCTAAATGTTGTAATGCGGTGTCCTTTATTGTGGGGAAACTTTTTTCCAAGTCCATTTATCAAAAGGGACCATTTGCCACATTGTTTTTCCAACTTCTTGTGAAAACATGTCTTTCGGTTCTCCTACGGGATCAAATGTTATATCCCTATCATATTCCATGCTAATCGGTTTGCCCTGATTCCGTAAGATCGCTCTTTCAAGCTTTATATTTTTGGCTTTGCCTCGGACTTTCGTACGTGCACGTTGGTCAACTACAAATATAATTAAAAATTATTAGAAATGGTATTTAATTTATAATAACTGAATAAAAATAGTAAATAAAAATTCATAATAAGACTTACGGTCCTGCTCATGATGACCAGCACCTCTACCACCTGGGAAAGGTGGGTCCTCAGCTCCATCACCCCCCATGTCTACGGCCCATAACAGCAGCCATGGTATACACAAACAAAAGCCACATTGACAACATTTCCTGAAAAATTATAAGATATACAGATACAATTTTTATTACAAATACACATTTAATTATAGCATTCATATATAAGTTTTGGAAGTTATTGGTTAATATATAAGTTTTGGAACTTATTGGTTAATTTGGGGTTAGTTTGGAACTTATTGGTTAATTTCAGTTATAGCATCCTAGTTATACCAATACCACATACTTTCACATAATACATAAGAGCATGAAATTCACATACTTTCACATACATATACCACATATACACCAAATACAAATACATTCACATACACACATAATAACATCCTACTTAGACCAAATACACATACTTTCACATATATAGATAATAACATCCAACTTATACCAAATATATAAATTTCACATTCATATACCACATACAACAAACATACATACATTCACATTCACACATAATAACATCATACTTATAACCAATACATATAATTTCATATATATAGATAATAACATCACATTTCTATCAAATACTCATATATCACATATACATCAAACACACATACATTGACATATATACACCAAATATACATAGATTCACATACAAATATCAAATATACACATATGCCAATTTTCATATAATTTATACAACCACACATATTTTGCAATTAAACTCAATTTCACAACAAATAGAAGTAAATAGAACCTGTGGTGGCAGAAATCAACGAAAATGATCCAGTGTTGGCGGTAATGACGGGTGGTGGTCGGGAACACAGTCAAAAAACTACAATAAGTTTAAAAAACTACTAAACTTGATAATTTTTTGAAATTAAGCACTACAATAAGCTTAAAATCGATGTTACAAGAGAAAAGGGAAAGGAAACTAACCTTCAGTCGTCGGAAATTGAGTAATATCGCTGGAGAAATGGTCCTCACCGGAAAATACAGTCTTCGCCGGTATCTTCTTGCGTGGCCGATTCAGCCACTGGAAAATTAGTAAGGTCGTCGTTATCACCCACTTAATTGACGAGGATCGATGGAGGTAAGCAGAAGAGGGAGGCAGAAGAGAAATGTAGCAGCAGAATGAAAACAAAAGAGCAAAAGGAAAAAAGCGTCAAATTTTTGGGGTTCACTACGTCGACCTTTAGCGGCGACGTTTTGGTATTTAGCGGCGACTCTCCGGAGGGAATTATTGCCGCGTCATTTTTCGATCTTTAGCGACGACATTTGTAGGTCTTTAGCGGCGAAAAAAGTCGCCGGTATTGATTTTGTGTGTTCCACGAGCACCCCAACCGTTGGATTAGAAATACGATCGGGTTGTTCTTGTTTACCAGAACGTCAAAGCGCGGATCCGTGTCATGGACCTTTAGCGGCGACACCAATAGTGGCGACGTTGACCTTTAGCGGCGACTTTTTAATATGTCGCCGCTAAAAGTCATTGTCGCCGCTATTGGTGTCGCCGCTAAAGGTTGTATTTCTTGTAGTGAAAAATCATTTGATACGTTGTGATAAAGAGATTCAAATGGTTGTGATAAAGAGATTCAAATAGGCCTGACAATGGAGCGGGTTTGGAGCGGATTGGCCTTCATCCAAACCCGTTAAGCAATTTTCAAATGATGATCCAAACCCGACCCGTAACCCATAGGGATTTGACTGATTAAACCCATACCTTACCCACCGGATCAACATATTTTAACCCTTTTACGCGACCCATTTACAATATTAAGTTTAGGCAATAATTAGTCATTAAAACACATATAACATGATCACTAAAACCAAACACCATTCACTCCAAAACAAACATCAATTATAGCTATATAAATAACTTTTCTAGTGTATTATGATTGTGGAATGTCGATCACTCGATTGCAGTCTTTTCTTCTTCTTCTTGAATCTTGATTGAAACCCTTTTCTTCTTGCT